AATTTAAGCTGAGATTAGTTATGTTGGTTGAGTGTGTGTTGAAACCGACTTCATGACAAGTTGATTATAGAACTCTGGGCATGGTTGAACATCTGGAATAGTTTCTTACGTATCCGTGGGGCCGGATAGCATATTTCGTTTTAATAAATTCATTGAAAGAGTCACAATTGGAAAGAATACTAAGGATGCAACAGAATGGACAAACAGAATGTAAGTATGTATTACAAGGCTATCCACTCGCATTTCAGGTATTATGTTCCTATTCTAATTACTTACGTATTATGTATAATTTCTTTGTACAAAGAATAAAATTTATACATCACATTTCTCTTTCTTTACGTTGAAGTATTAGATATATGAAGCATTTCCACGAATTGGACAAAAGTTTGGTCGCCGTAAATACAGAACGGTGCAGATTCCACGAATCTATAATTGGAGGCCTAATACTATACTGAAAGAATCGGTTGTTAAGCAATTTTTGGATATTCAAGATGTATGAATTTTTTATTTTCAATGTAGAATGACATTCGCATTTTATTATTAACAAGTTCAATTAAACAAATGGATTCTGATAGTTTGTTATGATTACAGATCGAAGTCATTGCAGTGCTGCAGCCTACAGAGGAAGAATTACAAACACCGTGGTACACAAATCTTTCACTGTCGGCTGACGATGAACATAATATATTAGATGTCATTGTCACTGGAGAAGTAGATAATGTAGTACCACAAATACCGAATAACATCCGTGTGCAAGAAACGACCAGTTGTGGTACATCGAGAACTTCAACTGGAATTGGGCCTAGTTCTGCTTCTGATGCCTTCAGATATGTAACTGAAGACCGAATGGAAGAAATGTTGGGTATGTACAGGCAACATACGATATCAGATGTGTCCAATCCGTGTGGCAACTTGAAGGCAGAATTTGTTGAAGAATCCAGAGCCCTGAACCAGGATATCCTTGAAAGCCAAAAGCAACTGTTCGAACAACATAACAAATCGATGCAAGATTACATGCTATGTGGTATGCAGTCATACATGGATAATTCTCTATCAAATATGTTTAGCACTCATATGGCCCAGGAATCGCAACAACAAGAAGCCCATTATTAGGCGATTCTTCGAAAACAAAAAGAATTATTCCGGCAGCAACAGGAGCACATACAGTCTTATATTGATACAAGTTTATGTTCTGTCAGATCTTACATTGACGAAAAGAATAAGAATATGCTAAACAGATTATCTAATTGGGAATCCAACATGAAAGCCATTATAGGTTTCATGCAGCAGGATATTCCTCTCCATACAAGTCCAAATCCTACTGTTCAACCGCATGAGACATCAACGTCTCAACCAGCAAAAAGTGTTGACATGCGGAGAAGAGAAAGGGAAAAGAAGATGAAATACACACAGGCTTCGTCATCCACAGGTCGTCCCTTAGAAGACTACGACATGAACAAGTACAAAAACATTAGGAATTGGATATCGAGAAATCAATCTGGGTAACAAATGTTACTCATTCTGAATAGTATGAATGCTAAACATTATTACATCAATGTCAAAAATTATTTGTTGAATTATTTGACAGTAATTTAAATTATGTTATACAGTGCATATTTGGACGATAGCCGTGGCAATGTCTATGGAAGAGACATGCTAAAAAGTTTAATGGATCACAAGAAGAATCTGAATATTGCGGTGAGTGAATGTTTGCAATCACAATAAATTTGATTTCTTAGTTAATATGTCTAATAAATGTTACATATATATATTGCATTAGCATATTGAGTTGGAGCTGAAGTTATTAAGGCAGCATATGAATGAAGCTTGTACTCTCGTCAATAAAAAATATATAATTTTGGATTTTCAATTTGAAGAGAAGTGTTGTCAGCAAATGAGATGGCGCATGGAATATAACCAGAGAGGTGAATCGGATGGAGCTCGCCTACAAGGCTACATCAACGGTACATTGCCTGTAGCTGGTCGTCCGTGGATGGGATGCAAGTATTTATTAATTTCAAGTTCATATCCAGGCAATGAATGTTATCTGTTTCTGGTCAATATTCTTGAATGAAAATTCTACATATATGATTGCAGCAATAATGTTCACACACCTGATGCAATCAAGGCACACGCAGAAGCAACATGCACAGTCGTTCAAGGATTATTGCAGTGTCTACCCCTGTCCACCAGACGAGATATAAAGAAACATGTAAATGATCCAATGAAGATGTAGATTATACCTTATCTACCTTGTGCGAATAATGGGTGAGCATTTCAACTCTTGTTATTTACTACCGTAGTTAATCTATTGTATATACTAATTTCGACTAACGAAAAATCATTTATTGTACAGGCCAAATTGCATAATATTTGTACTCAAGTATATAGAATGCTTCGTTCTCGGGCATCCAATTGAATCAGTTTCAGCAGAGGATGTCAATATATAGAAGAAAGATCGCAGTCGATTTTTTGAATAACGAACACTTTCTTTATCCCCGATAGTGAAATAATTGTCGTGACTTAGCTGTACTTTGCTTGTGTGACTGTTGATGATCAGCCGGTTCATGATACCGTCGTTTGCAATATGTATTTTGCTTTATGTGGTGTTACATAACATGTATTTTGGTTTTATGTGGTGGTACGTAAAATGTATTTTGGTTTACACAGTGGTTTGCATATTTTGATTTATATGGTGGTATGTAATATGTTCTTGAACTGTCATTCTAAACAAATGAAATATCAAGCGTCGAGATTCACAGCTATGTAATGTCGAGAACGACATATCAAACGTCCGAAAATCGAAGAAATGTAGAGAAATATTGTATTTTGGTCCAAGTGTCGTTCTAGACATTCGTAATGTCAAGTGTCGAGATTAACAGCTATTTAATGTCGATAACGACGTTACAAATGTCTAGAACGGAATCAAATGTCAATATAAATATGATCCAACCAAATTTAACTAAGAGTGAAGGCAACCAAATGGTGTATTAACTGCAAAAACTATAGCAAGCAGGTTTATAATTACTATAACAATTAAAGTTGATATGCCAAGCACAAGTACGTTCTCAACCATATTGATGTAAAAAAATTGTAAAATAATCACCATGAATGACTTCAACCATAATGGTTGGTGAGATATCTTATCGTGCATTCAACAGACAAGTGTTTCTCCACTATAAAATGTTGGACTTTACTTAAATTTGTACATACGAGAATTTAACAAATTCATAGCACTAGTTAGTTTTTCCATTGATTATGTCTTCATCAACTCAACATACTCTTGTTCTTGATGTTACTATCACTTTCGACCCCCCCGGGTCGTCCGCGGACAACTCGATCATCATAGACTTGGACTCGGATGATGAAAGCAATATCTTTGTTCCATATGTTCATCAACCTTCGAACCGCCATCGTAGGGTTTGCCTTCAACCAATCCCTTTTCCGAATCTAATCGACGAAATTGAACCAATTCAAGTTCATCGTGAGATCGTCCCAGTACCGGTCCAACCGGAAGCACATCATGTGTTGTTGGATGAAAATTTTGGAGCAGTTCCCATCGAAAATGAAGATGTGATCATCATAAGCTCCGACGAGGAGTATGACAGTGATATGTCCTCTTTGTCCGCCGTGAAGGATATGTAGAAGATGCAGTCATCGTAAGTGAAAATGCTTACGTACATATAGTAGTGCTATAAAATCCATATAGGTGATGGATATTTTTTGGGGTGATCACCATTTTGTATAATAATTGCCTACGATATGTATTGGAGTTATGGCTTCCTTTTGTTGTGATTACCATTGTGTCTGCTCCAATGACTTAGGAGAGCGAGTCATTCATGGGTTGCTTTTGTATCCATTACCACATTGTGTCTACAATGATTAAGAAAATCCCAGTGATGAAATAGATATGTGCTTGTTCACTTATATGATGAATAAAATGATATCGTAGTGAAATGCTCATAAAAATATATGTAAGCACCATTTCCCTTGTTGGTAGTTATACCCCAAACCTGGCCTCTCTTGTTTGTATCCATTATGACATTCTAAAATGAAGTGTTGTTTGTATTTAGTGAATGCCCATACGAATTTTCCTGTTTGTGCGCTATAAAATTTTGAACGACTAGAATAATATAAGAGAAAAATCACAAAAATGGGATGAATCCGTATAAATGATTCAAAATGTATTACAAATTTAATTTTACAATAAGCAATTGCAAATAAGTGATATCAAGAGAGAACGAAGAAAGAAACAGAAAGAAGTAGAAGTCAAAAATATATTCAACAACATTTAAAACAAGAGGTGGAAAGCAAGTAATACAAAAGAAAAAAAATTCAAAACATTGATAATTCATGTTATCAGGGCATTTGACGATCGGAATACACAATGTCATTCAAGTATACGTGTCACTTAAAGATGTCGAATTCTGACATGTTTGCCTGTTATGTCCAGAACCCCCACATCGGCCGCATTTTCGTCTCAATGTCGACCTTTCAGTTCTTGACCGTTGACGTTGGGCAGGAGGTCGACCTGGTGCTCTACGTATATTCGGGGGCAAATCTTCGTCGGAATGAATAGACTGAGGAACAACCCAATCTGACTCTCGGCCAACGGGGTGAAGAACTTCGTTGTATGCAGCTCGCCAATATTCTGTGGTGTAGTAAGGGGAGCACAAATCATACAATGATTTTTCTTTTCCACAAGCAGCTCGGGATGCATGTGAACATGGGATTTGTCGCATCTGAAACTCTCGATATGAACATGTGTTACCTATAAGGTCGACAGTACAAAGTTCGGTAGCTATACCTACCTCGAAAACAAGTTCGTCCAAATTTCGTACTGGTAAAGTTGCATCGGCGTCGAATGATTTTCTCAATTCATCATCAATTTTTGGTGTCACAGTCGTACTACATTTCGTGGATGCACTTTTTCTCTCGTAGAACCATCGTTGCATCAATAACGTAATATTTTCGATCAACGAGGTTATAGGGAAACTTCTTTATCGCCTTAGGACTGAATTCAGTGACTCCGCAATGTTATTCGTCATAACGTTGTACCGATTACCAACAAAATGTGCCCGTGACCAGGTGGATATACTGGCACGTTCCAAGTAAGATGCCATTGAGGGTCGAATGGTTCTTCTCTGTGTCATGAACTGATCAAATTTCGATACACGGTATGCTAGAACTGCCCGCTTGAATAAGAAGATGACATTGCTACTGCTATACCTAGCAATAAGATTTTTCTCGATATGCCAGATGCAGGCACCGTGGTGAGAAAGTGGGAACAACCTCATAATTGCCCGCTTAATACTCTTCTTCCTGTCCGACACAAACACTAGCTGGTTTGAATCATCAACGACATCTTTCAACTTTGCAAAGAACCAATACCACGATACATTTGTTTCCCCATCGACAACACTCCACGCAAGAGGATATATTTGTAGGTTAGCATCTTGTGCTGCAGCCACTAGTAGTGTTCCCTTATATTGGCCCTTCAAATGACTTCCATCAACACAAATTACTGGCCTCATGTATTCTCGAAAACCACGTACACTAGGCCTGAACGCTAAGAAGAAGTACAAGAACCTATTATTCAAGTCGAGTTCAATGTGTGCAATAGTTCTTGGATTTTTATCGGTTAACATGTGATAATATGATGGCAATTTCTGGAAACTTTCTCCGAGTGTACCACGAAGAAATCGAAGTCTCTTCTCTTTAGCCCTCCACGCTTTGTTGTAGGTAATCCGTACACCAAACTCACGTTCCATATCCCCAATAATACCCTCAGGAACGTATGATTGGTTTGCATCGTCCAACCTTCGCATTATGTGATGCCCCATTACTGCACTCATTGCATGAATTTGTGCATTTCGTCGAACGTCTAAAGAACATGTGTGCTCAGGTGTGTACTCTCGGATCGTAAATATTTCTAAAATTTTCATCTTAGAAGCTCATACTAGCCAATGGCATGTAGTATCGACACAACACACAGTAAGAGATCTAGGATTCGACTTTTTAACCTTGAAATGAAACTTCTCTTTCAAAGCCTTAAGTTGAAGCCTTGTATGTAACTGTTGTTTGCTAAAGAATATCTGATTCTTCACAATGTCCTCTTCATCAATCGACTCAATTGCATTTCGAATAAACAAATTGCCTTCACCTAAACTTTCATCCATATTATCAATCCTTTGTGGCTCTTGTAGTTCGCACATACCGACTTCATCGCGTCCACACAATGCATCTCCTATTGGTGACAAAGGCTCAACTCCGACATGCAATTCGTGCTCTCCAACATTATATTCATCTGCAATTACACACAACGCCGCTTCTGTGTGAATAGACATAAACCATTGCAAATCCTCATCGTCGGCTACATCAGCAAGGGGGTATATTCGTGTTCGGAACTGTAAATTTTAATTGAATTCGGAACTTCATTCTATCAACATTCAGCTTCTCGAATAATTTATGTACAAGCTTTTCATATGTAATATCATGTCGAACAACAATTGATATTGTTCGGTTCCCTAACCACTTCCACCCGTCGTCTATGTTGACGAATCTACCACCATATGAGACAACAAATCTCTTAACATCTCCCATATCTGCATGTCATAACAACAATATTGTCAACCACTAACGAAAATCGAAAACGAAAATGCTACCTACATGCAATATGTGAATCGCTATACACGAAATTTTCCCAACTTACTCAAATTTTTAATGTTATTGTCAACATTTGACAGTGTCTAGAATGATAGTATAAATATCATTCTCGACATTTATAAATGTCGTGAACGATATTTATACTATCATTATCGACATTTATAAAATGTCGAGAATGAAATGACGAGATTTCATGCATTTATCATCTTCTTCAACTTCAACCACCATTTTTGCAAGAATTTATTCCACCATAAATGATATTCTAAATACAGAAGTATATTATCTAACTAAGTTATTTAAGATGAATGATACAAAAAATATATACTCAGGATAATTTCGTCCATTGAAGGGAAAAAATACCTTATCAAAAAATTGAAATTTGAACATATATAACAACAATTACTAAATAAAACTTATCAAAAAAATGAGAGTTCGAAGAAATAGAGTTTAAAGAAATATACCTTCTACCGACAAATGATGAAAGCCTAATCAGCTCAAATTTCTACCATAGTAAATTTCTTAAAATGATTTCTTTGAAATTGGAATCATATACTTTTTCGTATATGTTAATGGAATTTTTGCTTCTTCTTCATTTGTTCTAGAATAATTGATTAAAATATAATTAAAAATGTAAGCAAGTGGACTCACCTAGGTAATAGCAACATTTTTGTGGCTTCTCATGGAAGTTATTTGCTCTTCTTAAAAATTGTGCTAAAGTGATATAAAATTGATTAATCTTTTCATGAGGGTAAAGTAGACATTTTGATCTAAAAATTGGACATTTTTGCAAGGATTATCAAAAAAGTACACTTTTCAAATCCAACCCTTATAATTGGACATTCTTGAAAATGCCTCGTAATTGCACTATCAATCAAACAGGTGTCTTGACAATTCATCATGAATATATAATATAATAAAATAAATATATGTAAAAAAAAGAATCTTGAATTTAAATTTAAAAGAGTAAATATAATTCAATATTGTGAAATTAACGATTCATAATAAAGTTTTAAAAAAAATTACGAAAAGTAAAAATATATTTCAAAATAAATTTCTAAAATAAAGGAAAATACTTAAAACATAAAAAATAAGCTAATCTATAGCTTTCATCATACTACACTCAATCAAACGATCAATATTATCATTTGGATCAACAAAGAAATTGAAGCATCCAAATGAGTTATGTCAATTGGACCATCATAATCAACAAAATTTGTCTCTATTTTTTCTTTTCCCTTGATTGATTTTTCATAAAAATCCACAAGATATTTTGCCGTGCGACGAGTACGTGCCTAATATCCTTTCATTTTACATCTATAGCAACTTTCTTGATGCTCTTTTTTGGATGTACTACTTCCATTTACCTTGTGCCTTTTGAAATTGTTACTTTGCTGCTGATAGTTTTGTTGATTATTTAATCAATGATTTATTCCACGTACACGTACACGTCCAAATTCACATCCACGTCCCTGTCCTTGTTTTAATATTGCTTTTACTTCAGGCAATACAGTACCATGTTCCTCAGGCAATGAAATAGAACCAGTTGGGCATAATTCATGATTTTTCATCAGCAATTCATTAGTTAGTTCAATCACAAACAAACAAGATATAAGTTTTGAGTACCTTTTGATACCACATTCACGATATTGTTACTGCAGGAGCACATCAGAAGGTGAAAAGGCGAAAAAACGTTTTCTCCAACATATTTTCAACAATGATTTTTTTTCCACACAATGTCAATTTTGAACATATTCTACATAATTCAGAATGACCTCAATAATAATGTTGAATTCTTGTAAACGAATATACATCCACTCATAGCGGGTTTTGGGAAGGATTATAGTCCTCTAATGATTAAATCTTTTAGCTAATTTTTTTTCAAAGAACATGTGGATCTTTTTCAATGAGATATTCAATTTTTAATCCATCGTGAAGATGATAACGAAGGAAGATAAATTCTTTTGCACAATCCCCCGAAAATTATTTGTTTCATTCTTTTATTGTTTTTTTTACAAATCTTTTAAAACAAAATGGATATCAGCATCGAGTACTCATGACAAATAGTTTTTGCCAGATATATCAAGTGCAACAATCTTAAGTTTTATGATGTTTATCATTTGATTAACTACACAATAAATAAAATACAATTAGTTTTGAAAAATATAATAGTTAATCAGATAGTCAATGTCAACATGACATAAGTTATTGTTTTCTTTTAGAAATAAAAACTAATTTAAAATAATATATTTTTCAAAAAATGTTCTACTCAAGAGCATATTGTATTTTACTATTGCTTCTTCAAGAGCAATAAGTAAATATTATTCTAGAATATTTAAAAATATAATTTATACTTTCTAGGAGCAAATAATATTTTTCTAAAATATTACAAAAATATAGTTCATGCTCTTCGAAAACAAGTAATATTTTTCAAAAATATTAATTATAATATTATGCTATTTCAAGAGTAACAACAAATTATTTATAATAGATAGATCTACAATTAATATTCTTTCGAATTACTAATTATAATATTGTGTTACATCAAGAGCAACAACAAAATAAATTATTAATTCAAAGAACATTAAAAAATTAATCAAATTAAAAACACAAAATATTTAATAATCATCATAGACATATATATTTTACAAACAAAGAATACATGCTTAAGCAATTATTTTGGAACTTGCAAAGAGTTCATAAAATGTATTAAAAATGAGCACGGCCGCTAACATTAAGAAAATTCCCAATCAAAAATTGAGACCAGTTTCAAAGTGACAAAAAAATCAGAACGATGACAAATAAAAGTAACTCAACGAAAATGACTATAACCATCCATGGAAGCCGGCAAATTACAGTCAAGCGATCAATTTGATACCCATAACATAAAAAAAATTCCAAATTTGGAACTAAAATTGGTAAGTAAAATAAAAATATTATATTCAAAACTATAGTGATAATTCATATTATTGTGGCCCTAAACTTTTACTCCATTCAAACAATTAATTACTCCTTAAATTACTATCACATGGCAACACATATTCATTAATAAAAAATCAAAATGAGCCGAAATCTCACATCGTCTTGTGTGTGTAAAGAGACAAACCACTACAAAAATTATTACACTATTATGGACCTAATACACAAACTTGTACGTTTTTCAAAATTGAGTTCAGGAATAGAGCCTGGGCCACTGCGGATGCCGGATGCGTGGTGAAACCTTATATATATATAATACGAAGATGAATTGAAATTGGAATTTCTTTTGGAATACTATTGAAGTAATTTCCCCCCTTTTCTTTTCTTTTTTTTTTTTGAAGAAAAGATTGGACTTTGAAAAATTAAATTTTCGTGCTGATAACGTGTTATAAAAAGAGAAAAGAGAAAATAAAAGTCCATAGACTTGTGTATTTTATTAATAACCAATACCCTATATTTATAAAAAATAATTAGAATACAACGGTAATAATTTCTTAAGGTGCAGGATATAATTGCCATTCACTAATAAACTTAGGCCCTATTTGAACTCCATTATTTTCTCATTAAAATGAAAAATATGACTGTTATACATCACATCAAATCACTATATTTGATTTTTTATCTCTTGTATTGGACCCATAAAAACTATATTTTTCATTCTCATTTTTACATTGTGACTCAAACGGGTCTTACAAGTTACAACAATATTATGTGTTATTGTTGATGTAGTGTATATAATTTTTTAATATTTGTAACTTATTACGGCACGCACCTTCACGAACCACCATCGTAACTTTCATTACCGCTTTACCAAAACATCGTACCCACACCCCCGCCACTACCACCTTCTAGAAAATTCACCAAAAACAGGCAAGCGAAACTAAAATCATCAAAAATCACCATTTCGAAAACTATAAAATTGTAATTGAATATTATAGACCTGTAAACGAAAATTACAAATCTATAATTGAACCCGCCACCATCGAAACCATCTTGCCACCATCTCTCCACATCACCATAACCCTTATGACCGTGCCGCCACTATATCCAGCCCCAAAAATCCGACCGCCACAAACCACTCAATCTCTACTCACAGTACAAATCAACAACCCTTTTCCACTAAAATCCTGAAGCCCAGACCCCCTCGTGACTCCCAAAATTCACGCAACCCTTTGGTCTCATTTCAATGAGGTTCTTCATACTTCATGACTATTCATGGTATCGGGAATGACATTAGAGGAAGGTGGTTTTGTTCGTCGCGAAAGCAAGATTGGCATACAGATTCAACATTTGTTCACAATTAACATATGGGATGGAAGCATCAAGGGTTGATAAAAAGAAACACATTTTTTCCAAAATGCCAGTAATAAAACTCGATAAGTTTGAACTATGTACAGGAGTTAACTAACGAGGTTGACTGTCCTCGGATATGTTTCTGTACAATAGCTGAACAAATTGGTAACATTAAGCAATCACAAATCAGGAAAACACTATCTTCTTTCTTCTTCCAATTTGAAGTTGGACCCGTACTTTCGTATACTTCAAAGTTTAGCAACAGAATCAAGGCACACGTTCTAATACGCGCTGCAATGCCTTTTTAATTCCATCTTGATCAAGCGATGTTGTCAGTTGTATTTCTTGCACCTGAAGATGAATCACATTGTTACTTTACCTTCAGAGAAACAAAGAGATACAGATACTGCGAGAGTAAAATTTTCAAGGTTCATGCCTGTCTTCCAGCTCGAGCAAGTAGAGTGTACATATTTCCAGTAGGTGGGGCCTGCGAGATTGCAAGAGTAAATATGAGAAATCCGTGTGATAGTTTTCTTCGCACAAAAGGAGGAAACGATTAACAAACACTTCTTGGACAAAATGAAATGGCATGTCACAACTTACATTTGATAGCCAAAGTTGCAAATCTTGTGAAACCACCCGTTTCTCAAATCCTTGCCGAGTAATTTTCACATTGTTTATGCTGGACAACAATACCAACAAAAGGCACGAGAATTAGTTAGCCGTATCGTGTCAGGATAGAATATTACACAAAATATCAGACTCGAAGACTTCGATAGATTAAAGAACTTGATTGGGCTCTAAAAGATGATCTGGTCGCTCTTGTTTTAGCAGAACTAACATTTTACAAGGCATGAGAATAATATTAAGTATTACCCACAATTATGTCTCATCCAACACTCAACGATAACTTATATTCATGCCTCAACCCACAGTTATAGGCTAACTATATAGTTAGGATTTCATAACCACAACTGAGTATTATATTGTAGAGACTAACGAAAATATAAAAACTTCTGGCCTTAAGCCTTTCAATGGTAGATCAAATTCAAATTTCCAGTCAATCGAATATGTTATAATTCTTTCACTCATTCTCCCTCATCTACGCATTACCCGCAATTACGTCTCATCCAACATTCAAATGATAACTGATATTCATGCCTCAACCCCTATAGGCCACTACATATTTATATTTTCATGACCACAAGTATTATACTGTAAAGATTAACAAAAACATAAACTTCTGGGCATAAACCTGTTCAATGGTAGATCAAATTCAAATTTCCAGTCAACCGAATATGCTATCAACTCTCCTATCTCAGTCATGAATTCTTTCACTCATTCCCCCTCGTAGTCCATGTTAAACAAGCTTGTGTTTCAGCTTGCAGACAAAATCTTTATTAAGGATCTTGGCCTTCTCCGTCTTCGGGGTGTACTCACTCACACACCTCCTTGTCTGTTCTTGTTCAACAGAATTATGCTAAACATTCTTGTTCACATTAAGATGCATGATACCAACATCTTTCACACCACTGTCCAAGATACCCCAAAGTACTTGTCAGACTCCCAACACCAGAGATTGCTCTTTTGTATACTGTCTCTCTCATCATGTAAAAGCCTACCACCTCGTATTGGTCAGCATGAAGTGGCTCTTTTGATATCTCTAAGAAACGCTTCACCATGGTCTCTTTCTTTGAAAGAACTTGACCCACAGACTCAACACCTACTCCAATGCTGATCGAGTAGGAAACAAAGAAGATCACACATCCATTAGTTCCTATTCATATTTCTTTGAGATTATCCCGTATCTTGGAGTTTCAATAAACAAAAATTGGTTACTCATTCGTCCATCAATTTAGCTGTTGCTTCAATAGTTGCCGATTTGACGTGGTTCTATTCTCTACTACGTGAACTTGGAATTTTCCTAGCTACACCTGATATGTATTGCGACAATTTTGGATCTACTTATATATGTTTATAACAAGCGTTTTAATCTCACATGAAGCAAATAGCCATCAACCACATTTTGTCGGTGACAGAATTCAAAATGGTAATATTCAAGTCAATCACAGCTTTTCTAAAACATCAGCTCCCAATGCATTGAACAAGTTGCTGCCTCGTCAATGACATTAAAGGTCTTTGAAGCAAGATTGGTTTTAACCACTGGAACACCACCTTCATGGGAGATACAAGGACATACTTATAATCATACCTCAATCAACAGTCAGTGATAACTACAATTATGCCTCAGTCCACAGATGTCTTTAATTATCATTTATATATTTGTACACATGGAGTAGAGATCTACAGTTGTCGGTTAACTATATGTATTTACATTTTTGTAACCACAGTGCAGTAGTATGTATTGTAAAGATCACCACAGAAATTATTCAACCTTCTAATTGTTACTTTATAAATAAGTGATATTTCCCAAATAGTCAAACGATAATCTTGCTCTTACCAAATATAGGGTCAAGATCTTTTTGGAGGCACAAGATAGTAATGTTATAAATAGTTCAGATCTTATGCCAGATAACCACTGAATCTCCACTACTGATAATAAAGAAGAAGAATTACAGAATCAGAAATGTATGTAAATGCTCTTCAAATATAGGCAGCACAACGGTGGATTTCCAGAATTCCAGTGGCTGAAAAGTTGAAACCAGATGGTTTTGTGGGGTCAGGATGGGCAAAATTAAAGCTTGATAAATTAAGAAAGAAAATTCTGGTGCCTGAACAAGAGGATGACGAATTAAGACTTATTTCCTCAAGATTATGTTAATGGAAATGAATCGACTTCAAAGTAATTAGTACCATGATTAGAAGAAAGCCTCGGTATTGACAAAATTACAAGACAACAAAATTATGGAAGAAGGGAAATAAGAGGAATAGTAAAAAGAAAAAGAGACCAAAGTTTAGCAGAGATGAAGATGAATATAAGTGAACTTTCTAAACACAAACACAGATGAGCAGAAAAAAGTATAATGTAATTGTTTTCAAGAACAAAACCAAACCATACCCATCTTCCTGCAATAGCTCTTCAATTATCGTGCCAAGCCCAGGAAGAGGTTCAAGGGTAAAATGACTGCTTGCTTTCAAGGTATCTGAATCGAGGGATGAATCCTGAGAAGCATAATAATTAAATACTAAACAAAGAACTGAGAATCAAAAATAATAAAAAAATATATAAGTCACTCGAGACCTGAGGAATAACTTTGTCCAGTGTTTCTAAAAGTGGATCTTCTTCCAGTTGTTTTATTGACAATGTGATCCTTGATTTCTCCCTACATCATGTTCCGAATGTCAAAGAAAATGATTTAGATCGAGAAAAACTCACTTAAAGAAATGATATAGAAATTATTCTATAACAGTTTATTCCACTAATCTTACGTGGATCTCAACATTACGTATTACATACATAAATCTAAGGGAATAGGCTGTCGATCAAATCTATTCAACTAAATATAAATATATAATAAGTTGAAGACAAATTACAAGAGAGATTACACCAGCAAGTCACGAAATTCGTACTCTTAACACAACAGTATATCAAGTACCCTCCAACTTATGATTGCGACTCATTTTTCACAGTAAATGTAATATAAACAATATAAATTATGAAGGAACCTCAGGCTCAAGGCAATGAAATTGAAACACTGATGTTGCAGAAGGTCATCCTTGATTTATCGGCAAAGCCTTGGGAATATTTTATTTAGTAATTTTATCATATGAAAGGAGAGAGAAACTGCACAAGGCATATAAAGGAGAATCACCTATCTATATTAATAATTTTGACTCTCACTTCATCACCCTCAGTAAGGATATCTCTTACATCGTGAACTAAATCCCATGACACTTCTGAGACATGCACAAGTCCTGTAAGGTGAAAATTTCCTGCAGAAGAGTTTGGACACAATAATGAAAAATATTGGCTAATCAAAATTACAAATTTGAAGTAAAAAGTTTTTCAGGAATTAATACCATCAGGGAAGAGCAGATGAACAAAAGCACCATAATCCTCGACAGAACCGACTTTAGCTTCAAAAATATCCCCCACATTTAATTGATCAGAAAAGTTTGACCATACAGCTTCCTTCTCAGAAAATATCAATTTTCTGTTCTCTTCATCTGCTTGGATTACCTGAAGACTAGTAACGTTCAGTCACATTCCACGATGAAAGTAAAGAAGGTCCAGTAATAAAAGCAATCTTTGAGAGTACTGTAGACTTGAAAATTAATTCACGAGTGGGTGAATTAGAGAATTGCACACTCACTAAAGATTGGACAGAGTCAAATGATCAAAAAATATTTACCTTGTTCCAGACTATAGCCTTGCTCAATGAGTTCAATTACAGGTCATTTTAATTTAACTAAATGTTCTAGTATATATTTTCATTTCATAGAATAATATCATTACCTGGTATGGAAATGTTGTCCTTTAAGACTTTCAAGTCTGGGTATATTTGAAGATTCTAGTAGAAAATTTGTACTATTTTTAGAGGTAAGAACTTAAGTTGATGTGGCCAATGGAAAAAAAAAATTGTATTGGGAAAGTAAAGCAAAATAAGCATTATGTTCTCATCAAGATCGGGTGCCCAGTCACAGAACTAGTGAAGGAAATTTTTTATGTAAGGTTCTCAGAAATGTAACAGATGATGTTGATAGTAAAAAATGAAATTATTATTATAATAATATGAACAAAGTGAGCTGGTTTCTGATTAAAAAATAAATGAAAGCAAGATGAGCAACATTGATTCTCTTCTACTCAGAATCGCCGAACTTCGGCAGGACTAGGACTAGGACACTGAACAAGGAACTTTATCATCTATATAGAGGATAAATTATGAGACTCATTTTCATTTTTTTTTTTAGAAAAACAATTCCCACATCCATACCACCCCCAACCCAAATCAGCAACTTAACAACAACAACGAATGAAAAACACCAATCCTTGATGATTCTTGAAATACTGTTTGCTGCTGGATGACCAACAAATTACTTATACCCCGTTTGATTCTCATTTTTATCAAAATATATTTTTCTCTCTCTCTTTTTTTTTTTTTTAACCACACATTCTTTATTAAAATAATATTACACATAAATCAAAAACTTTTCCTTATTTTTCATCCACACATTCTCCATCAATCTACTATTCTAAAATTCATTTCTCCATAAAAATGGGTGTCAAACACCCTCTTCATTTATCTGATCCAGATTTACATATATCATTTATGTTCAAGAGTCCAGATTCAATGTCAGTCAGTATTTGAATATCAAACATATTTCGGGTAATAAAAGGATATGACCAGTGATAATTGGAAAGTACATGAGGAGACTAGAATTGATTCAAACAGATTGCATTAGCCATTCCATCGCATATTTTCCATTAAGCAGGAAGTGAGATGGATTAGTTATTCACTGTTAATCAGTAGTAAGGGCTGGTAACACCATTCAGTGTTCAGCTACCGGAATTCATCCTATATTGCTCTTATTTCTACCAGCTATGAAGGACCAGCACACTTCTAAGGCCAAGCATCAATGAGAGAATTTATATTTTTTGATTCATATCCTAGTTTTCAGATAATTCTGGATCAACATATCAATGTTAGTTCTCCTTGACTACCAGGTAATTATAGAAATTTAAGCTTGCCTAAGTTGCATAGACACGATACGGCCACGCTGACATGAGATTTTCGAAAAAGTATGACATGGACTCGTCAATACACGTTGATTTTAATTCTTTTGAAATTTTAAGTGTATTTATTATATATTTACTTCTATAATTTTTTATAGGACACAGCAGATGCCATGTTGGACAGTTGCCCGAGGGACGTCTCTAAAGCAACCCTTGAATGTCGATAAATTAAAAAAAAAAATTAAAAAACAAATTAGACAAGGAAATGTGGCTTGTTGGATACATGTCCTTGAGTGTCCTTGAATGTTGGAGTTCGACATGAACATCACATGAATCGGACACAGACATACCATCCTAATAGGAGTGGGTGTGCATCATAAAAGCCTGCTTTGTATTTGCTTCCATGCAAAGTTGAAGTTGGAGTTACTTCTTCAATTGGACATATCTTCCTTTTGCATTAATAAAAAAAAATAAAAAAATAAAAAAAAAATAAAAAAAAAACTGTGATATTGATAAGTGTATTTTATATACTTATTTCAGTCATTAAACTAGAGCAATTATTGTTTTTAGGATGAATTGATGCTTAACTTTATACACATTTCGTTTGTTAGGTGCAACTCGAAGCAAAACAATGAAATTGGACAGAAAAGCGAGAAATTTGTTTAACTTGGGCTTAATCAAAAGTATGGGGACTAAATCGCAAAGTACCAAAAGTTGATTCGGACCTGATGTTGATGATTGAAGAAGAGCTAGAAGCAATTAAATGGTATTGGAGGATAAAAGATCAAGAAGATATCAAATATGAACCAAAAGGAACGAAGAATGAACTCTAAGGACCAAAGTGCAATGCATGGAAAAATTTCATAGTGGCGCGCGCAGGCAATACTCTCGCGCACATGGGCTTGATTTTCATATGCAGAGAGTAGAAGCGGTATGTGACGCGTGCGCAATGAAGTATACCACGCGCGCGCACTGGCATATTTCGGAAAAAATCGAGCAGATTCCTTTTTTGACACAAACTCTTATGAAAATCAAATCTATCATACTACTTAATCTAAAAGGGGACAAACAGAACGAGGAGAGTTCTTTTTTCTTCTGGATGGCTCAAAGGCAATTGCAAGGAGAAGAAATCTCAAGAGGCAAAGATCAACAAAAGCAATTGCAAGAAGATTGACAAGGATTGGGGGAAGAACTTACGCAACAAAACTAGTTTTTCTTATTCCCTACTTCTTTTCCATGTTCTTTATTGTGTATTTTATCGTGCCAATCAATTCAATTATGAACTAAACTTTGAGATCTAGGGCTTGACGTAACCTATTTGAGACATGTTTTGATTCTAATGCAGTTATTTCCTTTGATTTTTTCTGAAATTTATTTATGTTGTTATTGCTTAATGCTTTCAATTACCTGATCAACAATTGAATGATTGGATGCTTTAAATTTGGCACTCGAGAAAGGGAAATTTAGGCGAGACCTAAGAATAATATAATCCAGATTTCGTAGGTTTCGAGAAAAAGTACGAATCTTTGAGGCTAATTCCACTTAAGAACAAGATACTTTGATAATTTCTATATGTTTAATTTGAAATAGAGTTATTGGGATTAAAATATAAAAATAAGTTCTATTCGGCGCTCGAGAGAGGGGGTAGAATTAATTTAGGGTTTTTGCCTATAAATCTTGAAAAGACTTGATGGAAATAGCTATAGAGGTTGAAAAATATCGTCGAGAATACAGTGAAATCATTCCCTAGGCTTTTGCATCTTGATTTATTCGTATAACTTGCATCACTTGAATTCGTCACCAAAATCATCGTTAGATTATTTAACAATATTGATTCCAAATTCCATTTGCCTAGATAAAATAGAAGCTACCCAATTATAGTACTTCGTAGAAATTAAATTACAATCCATGTGGGTTCGACACTCTTACTTCAAAACTATATTACAAAACTTGACACCGTACACTTGCGGTATAAATCACGTTGCATAAAACGTGTGGTTGATATGAACAAAAGGGAGCTATGATTAACAATTTATTCCTTTGCCACTTGGTAGTGTGTCCCATCTGTTAACAAGTAAACATTTACCAGATCTGACCCATGTGTTGCTATAATCAACGTATGTAAAAATCAATTGAATGCCTCATTAATTATCATTTCACTCCTCCGTGGCTATGTGGTTAGTCGATATTAAAAAAGAAAGACCTAAGATTTTCATTTATGACTAGCAAAAGATCATCAAGAAACTAATTGATAAAACAGACGAAGCAACAGAAACACAAAGTCTACATCAGCATGCTTTTAGATTACGCTGATAATCAAATGTTGTCCAGAAATCTTCTTCAAGATTACTCCATGAGTACTAAAATTAGATCCCAGGCCGAGCTTTCAAAAGTTAATGAGAACACACCTTCCTAACAAGATATTCTATTACCAATGTTCAAATTGCACATAAAAAAAGGACATTTTGAGTGAATTGGATTAGAACTTAGAATGTCTCCTCAATTGAAATTGATCATCTAAGAAAACAGCTATGCAGCAATATTGTTACTTAAAATGTGGACACATTTCTTGGGTTTGCATCTTGTTTTTGTTAAGTATTATTTTATTGTCAACACATGCCTTTTCAGACCCTTCTCATGGATGTAATTTGATCATCAAATGAATATAAGTCCCATCACTCCAACTTGAACAAGGAATAACTTTGTGTATTCAGCAGAGAACCTTACAACAAAGTTATAAGGTATATCATAGAACTAAACAAAATTTACTCAAGACTCATTTGAGATTATCTGGTAGTTTAAAAATGATTAAGTTTCTAAACCTAACTAAATATCAATAAGTTCAATTGATATACTGATTTTGGCATAGAAAAGAACAAATGTTGCAATAATGAAACTCCATACCTTCACAGATACAATAGAACCCGTCAAATCTCTTGCAATCTCTTGAACTGTCTTGTGGGGTGCTGAAGGACAAGGTGACACAAAAATTTACAACATTAGGCGTTTAGAAGTACATCCTTACTTTATGAACTACCAAATTTGACTGAATGTCAAATAACATAAGCAAGTAGTGATGATGAAGAGCAAAGTTAAGCAGGTGGGAGGCTAAACATAGTCATATTCTATTGAACAATTAAGTACAGAACATAATGATAAGGACAACGCAATGATGAAAGCAGGGAAAATATTATTAAAATATTCATTGTTCTAATCACAGTTTCCAATTACATTGCACCACCAAGTTCAAACATGACATGCTAAAAATGTCTCATGATTACAAGAAATGGAAAAGTATATGCAAAGAAAACTTACTATAAAAATGCCCGTCGTCACCAGATTTTCAGCCAGTGAAATTACAATTCTCGTCTCATTCGCCAAAACTAGAGTTGGCACTTTAAGGTTCCATGTATTCATGTTGGACATTTGATTCACTAAACTATAGAATGTGACCCCTACCATGCACATCCAACAGTTTACTTAAAAGAAGTTTACTTATTTTTAGCGTTTCATATTAAATGGTTTCAAGAAAGAGAAAAAGGCTATGTGTTTCTAAAACAACGTTACTTCAGAAAGATGTTAAACGTAGTCTCGTGACTACACATATAGCCTGCAAACCACAACTAACCAAAGACAAGATAACTCTTCTTTTAATATTAAGGGTTAATTGCATTTTTACATACTTACAATCACTTGGTGAATTCGTGTCAAAGCTTCACACCATTATTCAAGGAATATACTAGGCCACTAGGGTATAATAGATAATCAATAGTCTTCATCGTACCTTAAATAATGTAAACAGTCTGCACTGTATTTAACTATTCACATAAATATAAAAAGAGATAAATACGAATACACAACTAGGAAACAGAATTGGTTGTGTGTAGAGCTAAATTGAAAAGAGATTTAATACCTTTACAATAGTGAGAAGGGCTCAACTGTGGGAAAGGAAGAAAACCAAGGAGAGAGTGAAATCTGATTAGCAAACCACCACCATTAAAACCTTCAATCCTGCCATCATAGATGAGTCCTTTCTCATTATAAGCCGTTGCAGCTTTCCAGTCAGCAGACCTCTACTTCTTTGAGTAAAATAGTATTATGTAAGAAGCCTTTACAAAGCATTGATGTTAATCAAAATAAATAACCCAATCATGTGGATCTATTCTCGAAGAACAACTTAGACAGTATTACACAGTTTCTCTTCAAAATCATTATATCAATAAGTTGCAGACAGTATTGCAACAATTGTTTAAACACACTTAATTAATATGATGGTTCATTGAGGCTACTGTATCTTTTCCCCTGAAGACAAAAATGGCCAAAGAAACAAAAGAAAACAGAAATTGCTATGCTAAATTGCTAATGACTCTTTTTGTCCTTTGGACTAATTGTATTCAAGCTTAAGAGTTAAAAAATTTGGCTGCCTATTTCAGCTGGACACGCAAAAAGTTCAATTGTTAGCCCTAACAAGACATGATCAGAACAAAGTCGTTCACATGCATTCCTCGACTGGCAAAATCAGTATCACTTTTGAGAGGTTCTGCTAGCTCGGAATTCACAGCAAGTCTAACTGCAACTAAAATCAAAAGAAGTTCAAGACCCTGATCTCTCAGATCAATGCATAAATCTACTAACAAGTAGCTGTAGCTAATTGACAACTTCGAGGTATAAAATCCTATTCGTCCAAAGACTGCAGTTCAACTACTTTAACACTATGTTTTCTCAACTTGTAAAAGGGGGGACCAGAAAATTTTCCACTCAAACTTGTATTAAATTGTCTAATTTCCATCTCAAATTACCACGCCATGCCCCTAATGTTAAGCTCGAACAATTCCGGTCAATATAATAAATTTTTCACCAATTTAAAGCACGATATGAAGTTATTATAAGAGAAATACATAACACATTACAGTGCAGAGCCACTTGGAGCATGTTTGGCTCAGCTTAAAGGCACCATTTTTTATGACTATAATTAGAATCCACCTGATCAATTCTCTTTCTTTACATTTTTCCTGTTTCTATTTTAACCTGTTTTAAATCATAAGAAATTCAAATCAAGGTGAAACAATCCAAGAATAACGGATATTATTCTTTCATATATTCATCGACTTAGCATTTCTTTCTCTCTCTTCTTATATAAACTTGGGAAGGCACAACAAAAGAGTTAAGGGAACACACCCGAGATTGTTTTATTTCATCAGGCGACAAAGAAGACTGATCCACCACTCCGTCAGTTTTAGTGTTGCTGCCACTGGAGATTGAGACTTTAGGGGCACCCAACGCTGGCTGCCTTCTGCCTGATGAACTGCGCGAGAGGCTCAAAGATGGTTGGGAGTTTGCAACAGCTGCACTCTCGCTGCTCAAGAAACGCGAGAGAAAGGCTGAAACTGAGCCCACTGCTGCAGCCGAAACAGGCATTTGCGTTTGATATTAATGGTGAAATTGGGGTATACCGAAACAAAAGTTTTGGGAGAAGATTGTAACCCAAATGGCGACCAGAAAATTCCGAGACTGGGAAGTTAACGATATATTACGAGGATTTGGATTGCTTGCAACGAGTGGATATACAACAGTTGGGATAATCCATTTATGTGTCATCTCCACACCCACAAGTTGTCTTGGGTATTGTGACGCATAAATTGGTGTATATCTATTACTTCAAAACATGGGGAATTTGCTCCAATGGTCATGTCTAGACTCCGAGTGTATTTGGCTAGGTAAAAATAAAATAAAATAAAGGGTTAATTTCACAAATGGTCACTGAATTTACCTTAAAATTACAAAACAATCACCGAAGTTTAAAACTTACAGAAACGGTCACTAAAAATTTTCATATTTTTGGACGAGGTTTGCAGCAATTTTTCGACAACTTTCAACTGCCAAGACCGTCGAATTTGGATACCGTTGGAAAGCCACAATATTCTCTTCGATTACCACCTAAAATCTCCCTATAACACCAAAAGATTCAAACAGAATAAACCCACAAAATCAGTTTCTCGAAATCTGAAAATCTGTGTAGATTTTTCAAATTTTTAGGCGAGTTTTGGGACAGTTTTTCGGCAACTTCCGACTACCAAGACCGTAGGATTTGGATAATATCATCTTCAATTACCACCCAAAATTTCCCAAAAACTGCAAAAGATTCGGCCAAAATAAATCCACAAAGTCAGCTCCTCATAATCTGAGCAGCTTTTTAGAATTCGCGCAGACTTGTTGAAGTAGTTTGGCACATTGTTGTACGTCGAACAGATTGTGGCAACACTCGAGGTACGGGAGCTAATTTTGTGGATTTATTCCTGCCAAAGTCTTCGGAGTTATGTGAAGATTTTGGGTGGTAATTGAAAAGAACATTATAGACTTTTCAATGGTATCCAAATTCGGCGGTCTTGGTGGTCGGAAGTTGTCGAAAAATTGCCGCAAAACTCGTCCAAAAATATGAAAAATCTGTGTGACCGTTTCTGTAAGTTTGTAAATTTCAGTAACCATTTCTAAAAACGCTCAAAACATCAGTGACCGTTTCTGGAGGTTTTTAAACTTCAATGATTGTTTGGTATTCTTCAGGTAAGTTTAGTGACTGTTTGTGAAATTAACTCGTAAAATAAAGTATAAAAACTTTAAAATGTGAACTACAATTTTAGTCAGGATGTCAATTTGGCTCGTCGACTAGGTCCGCACGTGGCTTAGCTCGAAAAAGGCCAGAGCAAGATCAACTCATGTCACATGCCATATTCGGCCATGACGAGCTAGCCTTAAAAAAAAAAATGGGAAGAAAATCATAATTCAGATGTATTGTTTACACCAATTCACAAATCTGATACATAGTTTAAAAATTCAAAATTTAGGTATACATATAATCAATTGAAAATATATATTAATTAAATATAATAAAGTCATGGTTCTGCGATTAATGGTCACAGATTCACAATTAGAAGTCACAAATTTATTTACTAGTCATATATCATCAAATTAATTGGTCATAAATCCAAAATTTCATAGATTACAATTTATTTCGAGGTCACAAATCAAACAAGGCACAAATTATTTCAAATCTAAATTACTTAGTTAGAGATTATTAAATTTTTAGATCACATTAAATAGCTCGTCACATATAACTGAATGGTTGGTCACATACGCTAATTTCTTGATCACAAACAATCAAATTATCTGTGACTATCACCAACACTCCTGACCACCACCTCACCACTACTACCAGTCGCATCCCGCCAAAACCACCACCACCAAGATCTCCAGTAGCCCCGTCATTTCAAATATCGCACCTAGCACTATCTTACCACAAAAACAAAACAAATACAAAACCACCGACACTTTAGAAAGGCCACCACCGCGACGTTATCGACACTACCAATACCAACACACGACATCACCACCAACAACAATTACCACCACCAGATCCAATCAGCTGCCAACAAAAACCACGACAATCGACTCCATTAGCTCTCCAACCACCAACAACCACCTCCACCGCCGCCAAACCACCGCAAGCAGACATTGCACCACAAGTAGACATCGTACCCCAAACCACCGCAAGCAGATCACTGAACTGGCAAAAATTTTAGATCATCGCATCACAAACCGAACGATCTGATTTCCTCTTCATTACAACTGGTGGCAACGGAGAACGAACCCACCATTACAGTCGTGCGCACCGACGTTGAACAATCATCGTTGCAGTTCATAAGCAACCCATCATCTGTGCAGAGCACGCCTGAGAGTGTCTTCGTCGGTGGTGCTCTCTGACGGGGCCATAGACAATTCATGTGTGACAAAACCTTCGGTGGTGCTTTCTCATTAAGAGAGGGAAGAGAATATATAGAGAGAGGGAAGACGGTAGAGAGAGAAAAGATAGGAAAAAATGGTTAGGATTTGGAATAATTGGGTGAAGATATTTAATATTTTAATTATTATATTGATATCTCATTTATGAATAATGAAACTTTAGTCCTGTTTTTGAATTGTGATTTTTAAACACCTAGTATTATGTAATTTTCTCTAAAAAAAGAAAAAAAAGCTACTTGTTATATTGCAAGCAGCGTGCAACTGCTGCTTGTTTGTAGTGTAGCTACATAGAGAGCTACTTAGTTGCATACGTTAGAAAAAATCGTGAATTGGCAGTTAGATAACGCTCAAGTCGAAAGCTCGAATTAAGTCTAGATTTTTTGGTGAAGTAAAAGTTTGGCTCAGCTCGTGCCCACCAAAAAAAGCCCGAACGATTTTTAATCGAGCCGAACCCAAGCCTCAAGTTTTGGCTCTTCAGCGAGCTCGGCTCGATTCATTAATGTCCCTAATCTTTTGCCTTAACCCATTTTTTCTATTTTCACTATTGTCTTTTTACCCATTTCACTATTGAAACTAAGAGAAATAAAGCTATGATCTCAGTTGGCTCCGTTCTAGTAACGTATTATAAAATTAATAGGGAAGAGAACAATGTAAGAGATTGAGAAAGAGCCAAAACTCTTTTGTATTTCATTTGGAACCGAGACTTCATACTAATAAATATAATTATGACTATAATAATAATAATAATAATAATAATAATAATAATAATAATTATTATTATTATTATTATTATTATTATTATTATTATTCATGAACAATCTATAGGAACTAGGGTTTCTAGTGTTGTAGAATATATTGTATATCGATGAAGAACATGTTGTATTGACAAATATGCTTTTAGCCAATTGGGTGGATATGCCTAATAATAGTATAAAGTTATGCCGTTAAATGATTTAATCACTGCATTTCGCAATCTTAATCCAAAAAATAAACAAAACAAAACAAAATTATTTTTATTTAAGTTTAAAATTGTCTTTGGTTAAATTTACCTAGTTGATGCTATTTGACACTACCGTTTCTAAGCACCAATTTATATGTCGTGCAAGTGTCATTAATTGATATATTAACTTGAAAATAGAAAAATAAATTACATTTAAAATGTCTAATCACTTGCATGACATTTAAACTGGTGCTCTAACACTACTGATACTAAAGACTAAGTGGCATTATTCATTTACTTTAAGGGATTATATGGTTTGTTATATTGCCACCACAATTTTTGTACTATACACCACATTTTTGTAGTTGTACTCCTCAATCTTTGCTTATTATAACATTTATTTTGCATCGACTTCTTATTTTCAACATGTTATTAATTAGTACGTTTTGTGATTGTTGATGATTTATATAAAAAAAAAAAAAATTCATGTTTTAAATAAGGAAAAAATATTTTTTCCACACTTTCTATTTATTTATTTTTAAAAATATGATGGAAAAATAAGTTGTTTTGGCTATTACAATGGATGTTTTGGACATAAAATTGTTATTAAATACAAAACGTGTAAACTAATGAAATATTTGAGAATAAGAATGACATACAAAATTATTAAGGGGATAAATGCTATAATGAACAAAGATTAAGAATATTAAATGCAATTAAAATATGGTGCAAGAAATAAAAATTGTGGTGTAAATATAATTACCCGATTATATTGACATTTTGTCGTATCAGATTTTAATCGTATTGAAAGCCCTCAACCTCATCTCTTTATCATATTTATATCCTCGACTTTTTGTTGCATTTCAGTTGTTAATCTTTTACATCGTCCCCAACTAGGTTTCAATAAAAAAATTTAAAAAAAAAATCTATGAAGAGAGTGTAAAACAATTTATTTGCTCCTTATATTATTAAATAAAAAAAAAAGACAAAAACGAAAGTTCGATAAATGATTTTTTTCTCATTTCAAAGCATGATAATAAAATATATTGACAAAATCGTCATCAGTGATAAAACATGATAATTAGTGGCTAACTAAAGGTAAGAATATAAAGAAAAAAGTTAAAGACACATATGCAAGATTGAGTAAAGAGTAAAAAATCTTTAGTGCAATTAAAATGCAACATAATAAACAAAAACAGTAAAGTGAATAGTGAAACTCGAAACTATATCGCATCGGCTAGGTTAAAGATCCATTTGGTACAATCGATTATTATTTGTAGCCATTTACTATCGCAATCGTCTTACATAATATATATATATATATATATATATATATATATATATATATAAATTAGTGATTTGATATATAAGATAACAACAAATTATCACATTAATATATTAAATTACAGAATTCTTTAGGTAGATGCCATACCACTTAGAGGATTAGAGCAGAATATTTTTACTGTTTCAGCAACAGTCCCAAGAAAAGGCAAGTATCAGACACAGACAATTGAGAGTTGAGTTGAGTTACCACTGATTGAAAGTATCTTCTGTTTAAAAAAGTCCCCTGAAAGAAAGACGAAAATACTATCTCAAACTTGCGAAATCTGCTGGCGGCAATTGATCAGAAACAATTTATCAAAATAAAAGAAAAAAATATGGAATTGGAGAGCGTTGGGGGTCTGGCGATGCACACAATACTCTCAAAATTGGGTCCATCAGATGCTGCGTCGGTGAGTTGCGTCGGAAAGAGATTTCTCGTTTGGGCCTCCGACGACTCCCTTTGGGCCAAATTCTGTTTCTTTGATCTTGAGCTCTCTTCGCCTCTTGATCCCCACGGCAACCCGGCCCCTTCATTCAAGGTAGATATATACATGTACAGATGATGCTGAAGTTAGGAAATTATTTCTTTGTTTTAATTTATTGAGATTTTCGATATAGAAAAAAGGGATCATTTTTATCGAGTTAATTTTACGTATGACTATTGAAATTCGTAAGAAATTTATGAAGTGTTCAAAGTTATTCGTAAGAAATTCCGAGAAATTAACCCAGCGTGTAACTGAATACACTTTTCAATGTTTAAACAATTTAAAGTTTGGTAAAGTGAAATTTAGTGTAAACTTCACTGGTCATTGCTAAAATTAACCCAGCTTTTATCCCACAATTATTATCCTCAAAAGCCTGATAAAACAGTTGGAGGCAAAGGGTTTATATTATTAACAACTAGCTCTTGAATAATACCTATTTAAAATCCAACTGAATTTACTGAGATGGGTCACTTGCTTTCATTTCTATGCAAATATTTTTTTACATTTTATTTAAAAGTTTTGTGTAAGCAATGATATTGTGTCCTTTTGATATTCTATTGGATCTGACTGCAGTTTTCCTTGACAGGCAGCTTATAAAGCATGGCGACAAGCATTTTCTACGTATCCGTGGCCACTGGTTATACGAGCTAAACAATGTTGGAGCAGACTCAAAAGCTGGTTAGCAGTGAACTTTCCAGAGGTTTTGCCCACCCTGCGTGAGGGTGCATCCGAAGCTGAGATCACTGAGTTTGAGAATTCTATGAAAGTAAAACTGCCTCTTCCTACGAGGCTTCTCTATCGTTTTTGTGATGGTCAAGAACTACCAAATGAAGAGTTCAGTGGAAGCTTCCCTTCAACTTTGTTGGGTATTATGGGGGGCTACTCTTTATATGATCATCTGGTAAATGTGTTCCTGTTGCCCTTAAGTCAGGTGATACTTGACACCAAGGGTATTATGCATCACATGGGATTCAGCAACAGATCTGAGTATATCGTTGTTGCAGCTTCTGCTACCTACAGTGAAAAGATTTTCTTCCTGAACTGTCGCACTGGTCAACTTTTTGTTGGTACAAGGAATCTTGCTGTTGATGGAGAAATGCTTCCTTGTGTGCCAGATACATTGATAAGTTCAGTGCATGAATCAAAAGGTAGTGAACAACAGGATGCCATGCTATTATGGCTAGAAGAACATGGTCGTCGCTTGCACGATGGCACTATTAAGGTTCGCCAAGAACGAAAGATCAGAAGCATCAATCTGTTTCCAGAGCAACCTCCCCTATGTTCCTCCGCTATAACAAATGGCGTTAAGGTAATCACTGTTTTTGAACCATTCTAACTACCCTTTTCCCCATCTTATTTGTTATATTGTTGATTAGCACTGCTAGTGTTGTGAGGGAGAGATTTAACGAAGTGCTACTTGATTTTATGTTCTTGTGCCATGGGGCTTGATTTTATGATTCTAGTTGCTACTGTAAATTGGAAATGTTCGTGCAGTCTTTTGAGGTATCTAATTCTCAAAGGTGCTTACAAGGTCCAAGAGCAAAATTCTCAATATAAGAGAAACCAGAAATTTCCTTAAGCAAATTCTCAGATGATGGTGGTGTTCTTTTCCAGGTTATTCTATTGGCTAACCAAGTGGCCACCTAGTGACATACAATTCTGAACCCTTTGTTGAAGCAAGATCCTCGTTTCTTATCTGAGTCCCATGTTTTTCTAACAGAAGTCAATCACTGAGCTGATCTCTCTCTCTCGCTCTCCCTTTTTTTTTATTTTTCTCAATTTGCTTTTTTAACTTAACCCTTAGCATTTCGCCAAATGTCTACCCCCAGAAAGTTGATTACGTATTCAATATGCAATGGTTTTTCTTTGGGTTCTTTATCTTAGCTCGTTTCTATGTGGCTTACTGACTTGTAATATGTTTGTGAAGGATGTAGTACATTTCTATTGGTGATGTATCAGTAGCTTGCATAGTAAAGCCTTTTTAAAATATATATATAAAATATTGTTATGTCTTCTATTTTGCTGGTAGAACTTCTGCTTATTGTTGGGGTTCAGTTACTTTGTTCTTATTGCCAATTTGCCGTCATAAATTAACTAATATTATGACTATGTTCACAAAATGTTGCATATGGTTCAGTGCTATAGTGCACATGAGGCAGTATATCTCCCGAACAGAAATGTTGTAACTGTAATTTATGTTTTCTGTGGCCTGCATTCAACTTATCAAATTTTAAAGGTTTAAATAAATCTTGGAATTCAATTCTATTATTCCTCATAACTTGTAAGAGTCAGTTTTCTCATTCAAGGCATTCTAAAAGAAATCCTTTTCCCCGTTCTTCAAAAGAGTCTTTAGTAGCATTTGATCTTTTAATGATACAAGAAACTGAATGAAATTACTAAATGACACTGTAATATCATATGCTGTCCTGTTTCAATTTGTGATCATGGTTCTGCTGCCTCCTTTGAGATTGCTGTATAAATGTTCTATTCCACAAAGAATTCTGTTGTTACCCAGAATTTACTCCTTTCTCATTTCCAGGACATTTTTGTTACCTTTACCTTTTGACAATTGAGATATGAACTTCAGGTCCATGCTTCTGCTGTATTTGTACCTGAGTTCAGTAACCTTCGCGATGAATCAGAGAAGTTTTTGTTTGCTTATTCTATCCGCATGTCTCTTTCCCCTGGTGGATGTGTCATCGAAGGAATGATGTTCAGTTCTTGCCAGTTGTATCGGAGACACTGGACCATACGTGCTAATGATGCTGTAGTATCAAATGTCAATGGAGAAGCCGTGATAGGAAGGGTAGGACTTTTTTATTATAACTTTCAACATTTTCACTTGGTTATCTTAGCTGTTACTCTTGAATGAATTGATTTGAACTCTTAGACTGACTAAACTCTTGACTTGCTGAATTCTGATTAAGACATTTGATTTGATTCATATATGTGAAGGTATGCCGTTCATTTATTCCTGTGGAACTGAAGGATGAACTTTAATTGACGAGAATGCCGAATCTACATTTTCAAGGATAAGATAGAGTAATATAGTCATTTTAAATCATTTTTAATTTGCTTAGAGTGGAAGAGAAATATGCACCAACCTATCAAAGATTAATAGTTGGATCAATTTTTAAACCGTAGACAAGGTACTTCCACTATTTGTGAGTAAAATGCTCACTTCATGGAGCTAATTTTCTGATGTAACAATCATAAAACTCCTAATCTCACTATTTCTAGATTTATAAATGGTTGCAAGCTGAGATTATGAATATGAAAATGAAGAACAATGATGTTCTTAATCTGAGGCAGGCATGCACTTGTGTGTTGATATTCGACAGTCTTGTCTAGCTAGGTCTATTGATAGATCAATGTATACTGTTCCTAGAACAACTAAATGGTATAATTGCACTTGTAAGCATGTTACTGAGAAACACGTGTTCCAGTTAACTTGGACCTTATTCGGATAACATTTACCGTGATGTCCTATATATGGATATTGCTAATATTCTGTTAGGGCTACTGTATCTATACAATACTGGTATGAAAACCTTTTTTTTTAGACAATGCCAATGAGTATGCCCTTGGAAGTAAGGCAATACAAACCTACTTAACGTACTTCCCACAAGCAAGCTTGTTGCCAACTCCATTTCGGGGAATTCATGCAGAATAGGATTCAGCTTTTCTCTTTAAGGCACTTTGGGTTTGTGAGCAAAGGGAACTGTGTCGCAATATGTCTTTACAGCCAAGGAAGGTTTTCACTTTACCTCAAGTCTAGCTTAGATTTTCATCATGAGATACTGAGATTAATAATTTTTGCTAAATTATTTAAAAGATGCTACAGCTCAAGAGTTACTTGACTGCCCAGCCATTGAAAATAAAAACAATCAGAATGTTTGAAAATCGAAATTTATGCATTTTTCCATTTTTACAGCTTCTCTTCCTTCTGCCATGGAACCTAAATCCTTCAGTTCTCCATTTTTCATCTTCCTCAAAAGTATAAAATGTTAAATTAAAAATGAAGTAAAAAATATTTTAATATTATGTTAATTGACATATTTGTGTCCAATTTTTTTATTTTTTTTAATTATTTTTTTTTAATAATTATGTGCTTGCGTGTCTGTGTTGTGTTTGTTTTCGTTCTTCTAAGGCTTAGATATTTCCTAGCACATGTCTGTGGTCTATTTAAGCATTTTGGTAGGTATAAGACCACAGCCTTGGCCTTCATTTGAAAGTAACATTGCTTATATTGTCTCTGTTAGGGCGTCATCTTAGCATAGAATTTTGTCCCAGGGTTACTTAAAACTATTAGAAGTCATGATTTTGTTGGAAAATTTCAGATTTTGTTGAAAATGAAATTTTCCCTTATTATTACCTTAAGTGTTATCAAGAAACTTCATGCTCAATCACTTTGCTTATGCCCTATACTTATAAGGGTTGTTTCCGATATAGATTTTCTTGACTTGCCATCTTTCTTAAACTTAAGTCCAATTTTTAATGTTGCAAATTTATTCCTTTACCGAGGTACACTCAAGCCTCTATTTACCTTCATTTATTTGTGCATGACATCATTTTCCTTGGTTCCTCGTGTTCCTGCTTTCTCATAGCCAACTGATTTATTGTAAATGTCATGGAGAACCATTATTTTATTTATTCATTTGGTAGTTAATGTTAATTGCTTTTCCGCTGAAGAGATCGTTCTATTACTTATGATGCTTATACAGCGATGAAAAGTTTGTCATATTGATCCTGATATTTTAGACCCATATTTGTAGCTAACTGGCTACAGTGGAGTTCTTTTCACTCTGGGAAATGATGGAGATTAATACCTGACGCCTCGGGAAGTATCTTGTAGGGTGACTTTATGCATTTATTTGATGCTTAAGTGTAGATATTTATTTTATTTTCTTGTAATAATTATTAGCAGTTTGAGTGTGTTCCCTAGTCTTGTTAGGACTTCTACTTCTCAATATGTCAATTGTTGATAACAATTCTGGCATTCTATTAGCAATTATTAGACTTTCACTCTCTATTCTCTTTTCATCTCCCAATTCCTGTGTACTCTCTTCCACTGTCCTACATCAAAAGACCCAGTCAAAGGTAGGAAAACTATCACTCTATATATCTTAAGACGTTTGGCAGTTATTTAGTAGACTCATTGAACAAACACTAAGTTAACTACATAATTTGGAACTATTTGATCTGGAGGGTTACATAGCGTAAATGGCGCAAAGGATACTGCCTATATCTAAAAGATGATGAAATCTCATTCCTGTCCTGGTTCTTAACAGCTTGCTCATTCTTAGCTTTCATGTTGCTTTGACCTGATTTAAAAAAAGATCCAGTAACTAATTTAAGGCGGTGGCAAATTATTATATTTGAATATGCTTCAAGGCTTTTACAGGGGCTTCATGAAGCAAGTTAATTTGGCTGTTTCATTCCATTCAATTTGTGCTGACTCCTTGATATTCACTAAGGGTGAAGTCTGAAGTACTCACGTCCAGCACAATATATGGTCTATCAAGAATGTTGCTAATTCCTCCTCAGCATTACATCGTATTAGTGAAATACCTTATGCATCAAATTTTTGGTGTGTAATTAAGGCTTTCATAAAAATTCTTGTAGAATCGAGTGTTATAGATATTACATTTGTGGTTTTTGGTTACGAATAATAGTGAAGACAGAGAATGTAGCCATATGAACTTAACAAAAAAAGGATTACTACTTTCACAAGCTTCCGAAGACTATTTGTTGAGTTGATGATGTTGCATTTTCAGTCTTACATTACTCTATCTTAATGACATAACTGCAGTTTCCACTGCTACATCCTGGAGAGGATGAATTTGTCTATGAGAGTTGCACACCTCTGCCATCATCTTTAGGATCCATTGAAGGATCGTTTACTTTTGTCCCTGGAAGGTATGCCTTATTTGACATAGTGAATTGCAAAAGTTCAAATAAATTCGTGTTTTCTTTCTCTTTCATTGTTTTGAGTAAGACATTTTTCTCTCTTAACGTGCCTTACAGTGCTTTCTGTTATAGCTTGAATTCTTGGGCTTAAAACAAATGAGAATGACATTTTTTGCAATACCTTTGTTTTCTGAAAATTTGACATTCGGTTTTTCCCAGATTGGCAGATCCGAAAGGAGGTCACTTTAAGGTTGAAGTAGCACGATTCCCGCTGCAGTTACCAGACTTTATTTACTGATAAACCTGTTGTGCAAAGTTATGCCATTTTAATGGTGTTACTTTTCTTGTGTTATTTGGTGTGCTCAACATACTTTAATTAATAAAATATATAAATTTATTGAGGCTTATAATCTGAATACTTATACACTGGCTTGGGATGAGGACTAATGTGTTCTGTTTGAGATCTCTCTCTTTGTTTTCATATTATATAAACTCTAAAGGGGCTCATTCCCAGTTTTAGTCTATAGTTTGTCTTAGAAAAGTTAAGCAATTGAGTAGAGTAGTAATGAGGATGACTGACTGACTTCATTTTTTTTTTTTTCAACGCCAAACTCATAAGTGAGAGTATGTAGTGGCCAGTACCCCAAGTGGACTTGGGGCTTGATAGAATAATGTTCCAATGAGCATGCAATGAACCTTGCCTTAGCTTCCGAAACGGGGAATTCATCATAACAGCTCATGATGTAGATTGATCATTTGCGGCATAAGAAATTTAAGAAAAATATAAATACTAGAAGAAAATGAAATGGAGTTAGGTATGCGATTGCGAGTCTTTAAAAATATATTAATCCACTGTATTGGAATTAACATAATCAAATGGACATCAATCTTTCAAGATACTCTGATTCTTCTAAATTAATATAGCATGATATTAATTTTGCCAAATGAATTAATGCTTGATTGTACTCTTCTAGACGGATAATATCGAATACTTAAATATCGAACATGCAATTTGAGAATTATTTTTACATGTTTAGAGAGAATGAATTAGAAATCAGTTATTTAGAATTGATTTTGGGTAAAGAAAATGGAATTATGTGTAAAAGAGTAATTGAACAAATATTGAATAAAACAATACCTGAAGGTTCACATGCGGTTGAATATTTATTCTAGAAAGGCTTATTTGTCCTAATTGTACCACGTAATCCTTTTATAAATTTCAATTTCTCTTTTCAAATGATCGCATAATTGACCGCAAATTAATTTTAACCATTAGATCACACCATTTTAGATTGGTTCATGATTTAATGGTGTGATTTATTGTACTCTATCAAAAGATCATGACTTTTTAACTATGCACTTAAAGAGTCATATTAATCGTCACACCTATTGAAGACTTCTATTTCACACTTTTTCATTGTTATGTACCCATTAATTCCAATAACTACTGTTCAAACCAGAATCCCCAATCAAACTTGGTAGGCACATAAAGCTGCAAGAGCTATCAAACAAAGTCAAGAAATTTCTTCTCTTTTAAAGGTTAACAATCCCATAAAATTGAGTCCAAAGGCATTGATCGATTCCTTGCACTCTTGATGTCATTGCCTTCCTCAAACTGCTGATTACAAACTTTGCCACCCCTTTAGTAGAGAATCTAGCATCATCATATTGTGATTAAGAATTCATGCCTATGCCAAATGGTCATGATCAAGAAAATGTGGAACAATCAATCAAGATGATACCTGCATCAGTTAAAAGATTTTAAAATGTCTGCAAGAATTACACTTCAATTCTGTGGTCAACTAATATTACATGGAAAACTACCATTGTATGTAAAGATAAAAACTAGTATACGAGAGCGATCTCTCCACTGATTACAACAGTGCTATCATCTTAACCCGACTAATATGCAGTAGCCAAATCTTAGTAAAATATGTTAGGAAAAATATAAAGGAGAAATTAGAAATACTAATGGAATTGTATAAATTAAATAATGGAATAAAACATTGCAATAAACAAAGTAACAATAAAATTAGAGGAAATGGTTGTTAAGGTAGTAGTGGTATTGAAAGGAACCGAGGCCTAAGCTATACACATTTTTCTTAAAACAGATTTACTCCCGTTGTGTTGCAAGATGACTGATGGTGTCTCTCTCAAGATGCAACGATCGAAAGTAGTTCACCAACACCTCGTTACTACTTTAAGTGAACTAAGAATGTCCACAATTCTATCACAAGGCTAAACACAAATAACTAAATTATCTAAGGCATTAAGAACTAAACTCTTGAAACAAAGAGAAGAGAGAAACTGTGAAAAAAGAACTCTCAAATTTTGTGCGAAGCATAAGGAGGATATAGTATTAGGATGAGGGAGGTTTTAAATTCATAGTTACTTTTGTATTTAACACAAATAATGTTACAATAGCCATGAATGAATTTATAACGAGAAATTGATTAAGGAATTGAACCAATTCAAATACAAATTAAATCAGTAGCAGTGTGAGGGGAATAATCCCACCTCAAAAGATGATCGCCCAGAGTGTTTCTTTATCGAGATTGGCATTCAAATACAACTGATATTATCTTCGACACGCCTTTCAAGGTGACAACCTCTTTAGTCTAGTAATCAGGGACGGATCCAGGTTTGAATTCAAGATCGAGCTAAAAAAATTTCAAGCCAGGCTAATACGAGGGAAAAAAAATTAAATCCGTCCCTGGTCTAGTTTGTGTATAGGGAACTCGATTTGGAGCATGCTTCGCCCCGACTAGATATGAAATCTAAGAATTGCTGTTACAATTTCATTGAACTTGAATATATTAACTTAATATATTATTTTCCAACAAAATATCTCATAAAACTATTGATGGGGTACGAAGTGAGGACGCAAATATCTCGCACGACCTTAATATCAACTACCAGTACTGTTTTGGGGGAACATTATCTCAACATGATGACGCTTTTCAATATATACATATCCACAAATGGATAGCATCACTGTGGACCGACTCGTTTTTCGACAGACTTCCTTTTGTCAAGAAAAATGGCTTGTTTCTGAGATTACTTGGTAAATTTTGTGTGTGTGTGTGTGTGTGTGTTTTTTTTTTTTTTTTTTAAAGGAGCCAGCTAGCAGTCAACTTGGTTCTGCTCGTGAATTCTACAAGCAAAGAGCCAAGTAGAGTCTAGAACTTAGACACGCTGAGCTTGAGTCTTCAACGGCCGAGTTGAGCCCACATTACCACCACTGAAGTAAACAGGGTAAGTGACAACATTTTAATTCTCAAAAAAAAAAAAAAAAAAAAGGTTGAACTTCAATCTTGAAAGCCCCCACGATCCCGCCCCTAAAGTTTTGTGAGGGAGGTAAATCGTAGAATGTGCCCCAACAGATCAGGGAACAAGAACTGACAACATTTTAATTCTCAGTCTCACCCTATATTGTCCCTAGCTAAATAGATGGATGGTGACATCTCTACATCAAGAAGGATTTGAACAAAGTGAGTTCTGGAATTTCGAGTTTGGTCAAATTGAGATTGAACTCATAATATTTATTAATTTGGGGTTTTTGCCATGTCTTAATTTGCACCAAACATTAGTGTCGGTAAATCATCTCTCCCTAGTATTTGAAAAATGAAATTAAGGATCCGTTGATTGCAAGGATAAAATTTGAGTGGAAAGAAAACGAATTTCAAAGAATTGAATTGTCCAGAACTTATTTTCTTGAAAAGAGAGATGCTTCAAGTGCAGGATCTGAACGAAATTGAATTGCCCAAAACTTGTTTTCTTGAAAAGAGAGATGCTTTAAATACATGTCCTGGACGTCCAGGACCCTGTACGAAAGGCATTAGCCTCCTAAAAATTGTCAATTAAATGTGTTTGATTAATATAATTTTCTATTTGAAAAATGTTAAAATTTTGAATCTTTTCGTTTTCATTTGGTCTTGTTTTTCACGAAAATTGTCAATTAAAGGTACAAATTTTTTTACAGTTGTTTGTGTGGGGGAAAAGGTGGAAATGGAATTCCCTTGAAAATATTACAATCAAACACTACATTTTGATGGAAAATGGAAAATGTTCCAATGAAAAATGTGGCAATCAAACAGGTCCCAAGTATAAAATGGCAAACATAAAAGCCTAAAAACAATCAGATATAAAATGCCGAGAAACTGAGAGCTCGTCAAACTTCAAGGAATAGAAGACGATTTAACTCAGTAAGTTCAGAAAAGTCTTTCAACTAATCTCAAAGATCAAGCAAAATGTTCCTTCTCGACGCTATTATCCTCTTAAGACGAAGTTTTCCGACTCAAAGGTCTTGTACGCTCAAACCTGCGAAACAAATTAAATGAACATTAAAGTTAATCCATGAAGAGAAAAATACACAAAAAAAATCCGTATCTCAATGGAATGATTGACCACTCACAAACTAAGCTATCCACTCTTGTTTATAGAGCACACGACTTGCTCCCAGACAGACCCAATTAAACAAAATCCCGATTGGCAAAGGCTAAGAGCTCCAAAATTAAAAGTAATACACACTTTCAGCATTTGAATTTTGAATTTAAACTCAACACGAGCACATATCGATCAATTTTTAGCTTTTCTTCAGGCAGGATGACAACAACAAAGAAAAGTCAGGACAATATAGAATAGAATCGATCTCCTGCCCAAGCCATGTTAGCGGTGTGAAGTTTTTATCTTACCCACCGAGGGTAGGAGATTAGCAATGTTCGAGCCACATTTTTTCAAAAAAATACATTCTTAAACAGTGATTTGACATCATTTCAACCACACATTCTTCAATAAAATAATATTATACGAAAATTCAAAACTTTTCTTTATTTTTTAACCACACATTTCTCATCAATACACTATTCAAAAATGCATTCTAAAGAAAATAATGTGGCTCAAACAGTGCTAGGACTGTTATATAGAATAGGGAACTCCATTTTTCCAAAAATACATTTTTTCAAAACTCATTTTCAATTACACATTCTCCTGTAAAATAATGTTACGCGTAAATCCAAAACTTTACTTTATTTTTTAACTACGCATTCTCCAAAAAAGAGTTCATTGTTACAATGGTCACTGAACTTAGGTCCATATCTTTGATTGGCCACTGAAATTTAAAATATCGAGTTTTGATCGAACTTAGATCCATGTCTTCAATTGCTCACTGAAATTTAAAATGTCTAATTTTGGTACTGAACTTCGAAAAATGTTGTACATTACTCACTGAATTTTGAAAAATGCTGAACATTACTCACTGTAAACTCGATATTTTCAAAATTCAACAATCATGCTAGTGAGTAACGTACTACATGTTCCAAAGTTCAGTGAGTAATGAACACCATTTTTCAAAATTTAGTGACCAAAACTCGACATTTTAAGCTTCAGTGAGTAAACGAAGACATGAACCTAAGTTCAGTGAACAATCAACGACATTGACCTAAGTTCAGTGACCAAAACTCGACATCTTAAACTTCAGTGACCAATCAAAGGCATAGACCTAAGTTTAGTGATCATTGGAACAATTAACTCTCCAAAAAATCACTACTCCAAAACATATTTTACCCCAAAATCTCATTTCAATCGAGTCCAAACTGGGGCATAGTTTGCAAATCTAATCAGGTCTCTAATTACAAATTATATTCTAGACTCCCAGTAGCAAGTGTAGAAATGTAGTGTAGCATTTCAATTAACTCTTCAATCGTTTTTACCTAGCATCAAAGTTAAACAGGTTTTAGTCTACAACAGACCTGGAGGAAGGGATTGCTTCAATTTGTCAGCCTTCTCGGGATCAAAGACACAGAGGGTGTAGAGATACTTGGAGCACCGAACCTTAAACTTCACAACATCTTTGCTCTTTTTGATCTTCACGGAACGTGCATCTTTCCTCCTGGCAGTTAGAAGGAAGTCCTTGATCTCATGAATCTGCTTTGGCTGTGCATCACATAAAAAAACAAACGCATCAGCAAAAATAAATGCGAACATGAGTTAACTTCTTATAATTCATTTTCATAGTTAATTTCCTTCAAGAGATAAGATAGGCAACACATCACCAGAGCGAATTGAAAGCAACCAGATAAATGGCGCAACATATGTACGGATGCCAACCAAAATACTAAATTTTTGCACCATAATCCCAATATATACTTTATTTCAAATTCAAAATATAATTACCATTAAACGAAGCTCTCAAATAATATAAAAAACTGATTTAAATTTCAAAAGCTCCAGAGCAATCAAGAAAAATTTCACTTAATCGTGCAGGTTCATCCCCTTAACAAATCACTATTCTTTCACATGCCTAGATAGATATAAAATCACAGCACTTCAATAAATTACTATATTACTGTATAAGAAAATCCTGCAAAAAAAAAAAATTACATTTCAATACAGACCTAAACATGTGCATTCACGAATAAACAGTGACCTAGATTTCATGTTTAAAAACTCAAAATTAAAATATGGTTTCAGAAACAAAAATTATGACACGAACGGTGCACAAAAATTAACATAGCATTTACACATCATTAAATAAAAACTAAAATTGAAAAATCCGCGAATCGAATTAGAAACACACACTCAAACATAAGAAGGAGAGTACCATTTTCAAGACGCAGTTTGGAAGAAATGGATGATAATGAAGAAAGGTAGGCACGGTGTGAATCCTAAATGATTGGCGCTGAAAGTTAACAGATATCCATTTACGACTGTTGAGAATAAAAACCCTAGGAATTTTGGATTTTTATTTCTCAATTCTGCCCCTCAAACTTGTTCAATATTACATTACCAAAAAATCCTCACTCCCTTGTCCCGCACGTGTTTATGTTTATTATCGAGGGAATTATCCAAATGGTCACTAAATTTTGTAAAAGATTTTCATTGGATTACCAAACTTTAAAAATCACAAAATTCATTACTAAATTTTGTAAAAGATTTCCATGGGATCAATGAACTTTGTAAGTTAGTGATCATTGGAAAACATTTTGCAAAGTTCAGTGACATTGTGGAAACCTTTTGTAAAGTTCAGTGATGAATGTGGTGATTTTTAAAATTCAATAACCCTAGAAATGTCAATTGGGCTTGTTGGCTCGGAACGTCCATAGCTCGGCATGAAAAAAGCCCTAGCCAGCTTGGCTCGAGGCTCGATGGAATCAAGCCAAGGCTTGGGTCAAGCTCCATTTTGAGGTTCCAGACCTAGCTCGAGTCGGCCCGTGCAGCTCCCCAGCTTGGACTCGGGCCTTAAAAAAAGAGAGAGAAGAAAACAAAGAAAAGAAAATGACAGCTAGTTGCTACCTTTCTTAAGGTAGAAGTGTCAATTAAAAAAAAAAAGGGAGAGAGAACAAATCGATCTAGCCCGGCTCTATTCGCTAAGGTCCGACCCGAAAGCTTAGGTCGAGCCTCTTTTTTTGGTTGAGCTTTCGCTCAGCTCAAGCTCGAAAAAAGCCCATTTGATTTTACTCGAGCCAAGCTTGAACTTTGAGTTTCGACTCACGAGTTGACTCGACTCGGCTTGTTGACATCTCTAAGTGACCCTGTGGAAAAATTTTGCAAAGTTCAGTGATGAATTTGGTGATTTTTAAAGTTCAGTAATTAGTGATCCCTAGGAAGCCTTTAGCAAAGTTCAGTGATTCGTGGAAACTTTTTGTAAAGTTCATTGATGAATGTGATGATTTTCAAAGTAGTGACCCTGCGAAAATCTTTAGCAAAGTTCGGTTTTGAATTGGATGACTTTTAAAGTTCAGTAACCCCGTAAAAACCTTTTACAAAGTTCAGTGACCATTTGAGTAATTCACTCGTTTATAATCAGTCAAATCACTTGTGTCCACATATCTCATGAAAACTCACAAATAATATCCACTTATCAATCGCTTATTTCTATCTAGACTATTAGAAGCTGAAGGTGCTTTGGTGGGATTTTCATGGACGAAAACATATTGCATTTAGTTTGATAATGATCGAGTGTCATTGCTTCTTCAACCTTAACCAAGGCATCCCATAGATATGATAGAAAAATGAGTTTTGTTCTATCTTTAATTAGAAATTTCTCTATGAAAAATGCGAAACGGAGTTTAAGGAAGGGGATGGAGAACGAGCCCTCCACAACCGATAAACACTAGATTGTGCAAATTTGGATGGACACTAAGTGACTAGAGGTGACATGCTCGAGGTAGTTGGCTACTTGAAGGGTCGGATTTGATGGTTGGAGAGTTGAGACCATAATATGAAATATATGTAGAAAATGAATGAAATACAACTTCTTTTTGGATGGTTCAAATGCTCACATAAAGCTAACTAAAAAGCAAAAACAATGCAATTTATGAATCTCAAATATGAGTCTTGTATTGATCGTAGTAGCATTTCAGAAAATGATTTATCCTCATATTTTATTTATAAAAATTTTTATGTGTCAATGGCCAATTACTTGTGGAATACTAAAATACTTATTAAATGCAATCATTGGTCATTATGAGTAAAGATTTAAAAAATTAAAATAGAAAGCTTCTTGGAGATTAGTAGATTATTATTAAGCATTAATTTTTAAAATAAAGATTATTTTATATTTAAAGAGTCACTTGGAGATACTCTAGTTGTATAATGATTAAAGTTTTAAAATTGTTTTAAGCCCCTGTTTGGCCCTCATTAAATCTAATCAAATTAAATTAAATTTTTCTCTCTCCTATGTTCAACAATACAATTCTCAATAAAATAATATTACATGTAAATCGAAAATTTTTCATTCTTTTTTTTTACAACCATCAATTTTTCCAGAAAACACTATTCTCCCGATTATAATAAAAAATAATGGGGGGCCAAACGGGGGATAAGTACACATGCGTAGGAGTTTAGTTTTTCATATTTTTGTGAAAATTTAAACAGTTAGCCCCGATCTTTAGTGACAATTGAAAATTCTCCCAACCTTTAAATGGACTTTTCCCAAACCTTGAGGGTGAGTTTGATTGAAACGAATTCCATGGAAAATGTCATATCCGAGAAATTCGTTTTCTATTTTAACTGTTTAATACGAAAGTAAAAATGAAGTTTGAATTTCAAGGTACAAACACTTAAAAGCATTTTTTTGATCAATTCTATGGAAATCGAATTTCTATGGTTTTGGTGGGTTTTTTTTTCCAACATACATTGAATTGGTTTGTCATTTCCACATTTGCAATCAAACGGACCCCTAGTTCTATTTACATATTTCATCATTTTAAAATAATTCTATCGGCTTTAATTTTCTTTATTTTTGTGAAAATTGGCACCATTAGTTCTGACCTTTAGCGCCTCTAGAAAATTCATCCCCAACCTTTAAATGGACTCGTCATTTCCAAATCTTTAGTTCTGTTTCCGTATTTCATCAATTTCATTAAAAACATGGCTTAGTTTATTTCATGAATCCCTTTGCTAAACAATATGATAAGTTGGCTTAAAAACACGAGTTAGTTTATTTTGTTCTTAGTTTTGTATTGTTACTACATTGAATCTTTAGTATTCATTCGAATCAACAAGCATTTGAATGCGTTAATTGTCTTCCATACATTTCCACAACTTAAATTTTGCATCTGATCATATTTCACGGCTAATAACATAATTATTACATTGCAAGGGAGAAAAAAAGACAATGTTTACATGTAGATAATTGAAAATCTGCACAATATTGATTGAGCAATTTTCTCTATGAAGGCCTTTTTCCCTTTTTGTAGCACTCCACGTTTTTGCCTTTTGATAGCTTCATACTTGCACAGTTGGATATATGTTTCTGATGGTTCAGGGTTTTCTTCCAGTGACAACTCCATTTTTACGAGAATTCGTCAAGTCTTTTTGAAACTCCTGCGGTTCAACAATACATGAAATGATTAGATGGTGAAATGACTAAATTTTGACTGACAAGAAATGGGATTCTCACCATATGCTTAAGAGCCATATCCAATGAACTCTTCGACATCAGCCTTCCAAAACCAGAACTCTCATTGATAGAACCATTCATCTTTACTTTGGCTTGTCTTTCTTCAGCACTTGACATTCTTGCATTCATAAATTTGTCGACCATCTTACTTCCCAACACTTGGCCTTTATTTCCTTGATGAAGTTTGGCAGCTGTTTGATTAGTAATTTTTCCATCATTGTCCACTTTACGCCCCCGAGTCACACTTGGAGAGCAGGATTGTCTTCTGGCCTTTGGATTTGAATCTTGCTTCTGGGGTAAGGCTCGATTTTGAATATCTGGTCTTTCTCTAGTTGTTGATATTGATCGGTCTGTCCTTAAATTATGAGGAGTTTCATCTGAAACACCTGAAATTTGGGATGGTATTGTTGGCCTCGTAGAAGGTGATACACCTCGACTTTTAGGCTTGGTGTTTGAGATTGAATTTGAATCCATCCCCATGCTTTTTGAAAGGTTTGAAGTTAGAAAATTTGGCTGGCTTCCTCTGCGGCTGACATATTTTACTGGAGTGGTTCCTGTTTTCAGTTTTTCGGTGACAACGGTGTGAGACTGGTTCTTTTTCTGGTCTAGAACGGGTGCACTTTTCACGTTTTTCTTGTCAGTTAACGAAATAGTCGATAGAAGTACATTGGACTGGTTCATTTTCTGGTTTATAACTGGTGCGCTTTTCGCGTTTTTCTTGTCTGTAGGCGGAATAGTCGGCCTTCCATTCGGGGTTTTATATCTTTGTGGAATTTTTGGCTTTGGATTTGGATATGTTGATTTGTTGGTGTTGGCTTTCACTTCCTCTGAATTGCCTGCAAACTGAACGTGTAATATTTCCTTAAATCTCATAAATTTGTTAATTCGAAAAAATAGCAAAATATGATGTGAGATCCTCCATTCTGATAGCAAAATATGATGTGAGATCCTCCATTCTGATAGCTCAACTCGCTTCACATCTCTAATCACTAGAAAGTGACTAACGTTTGGAGACTAACCCGTGAAAGAGGCTGAATGATTGGTAGATCACGCTGAATTACCATTTCTGGGGCATTTGTTTCCATCTCAAGAGACGGAAATAAAGGCGTCGCTGGTGGTGTTTTCAGCCTGCAAACATCAAAACATGGAATTAAACATCTACCACTACTAACTCTACAGAAAAAGAGTACTATTATATAGGTACAAATCTAAACTCCTATCCACTGTGGGCACATAAAGTTTTCCACTGCTGATGCGGCAAGAGAACTTTACTTATAATTATCTGCAACGGCCATATATTCCAAGAATCATACTTACGATTCTTTCAGTCACATCAGAAGTGTGAAGTTTTTATCTTACTCACCATGGACAGGAGATCAATTCTATATATAGTTAACAAATAGTACCAGTTATAATCATTTTTTCCACTCTCAGCAAGAAATTCAAGTGTTGGCCCTTTTCTTCCAAACTCCATTCTGTGCAGTCCATAGTTTCCTGCAAAAATCCAGGTAAAAACATGAATAAGCACCAAGCTAAAGAGATCAAATTGTATTACAAAAATACTGATTTCGTCCTCCAAAAATATTTGACAAAGAACCCTTTTTAATTGTATCCAAAGATCCCTTTACAAGTCGGTTTTAAGGGTGAGTTCTACTCAAGACTCATTGTTATGCTTACTCTTTATATTTCATGCTCTTGGATCTTACCGTTCACCTCAAACTCGTTAGAAACAGGTTGAAGAAGACTAGCAATTTCATCTTTTTCACGTTTCTGAATATCCCGGAAGAAGGAAAGCTCTTCATCCCTATCTTTGACAGAATTAGATATCTTCCTATGCATGCCT